TCAGGCCGACGGCCGCCGGCGGATTTTTCCGCTAAACAGCGGCTGAAAAAATGCTAAAAGTAATCGGCAGGGCGGCGGTTTCGCGCCGTTCGCCGCCCCGTCCGATCTTTCTCAGTTGCCCTGGCGGGGGGCCGCTCGTGCGTGGTTCCTTTTCGGGGGAAGTGCGACCGCAAGTGCCGCGGGCGCCTCGATGGCTCCGGCGCGCTGAAAGTTTATGCTCCGTGCTGAGTATGTGTTCGCGATTTGCGCAGGCTTGATGGTGTTCTCGCTGAAGATCTTGACTTTGATGGTTTTAGCCCGTGAGGCGTTATTGCGTTGCGCGTTGCATTGTCGTCGTGCCGGGTTTCGGTGTTCCGCTTTTTGAGGTATCTAGGCACTGCAAATGTTTGAAAAAGGATGGAACTTTAGCTAACAGAAGTAAGATTTATTTTGTATCCTTCGGCAAGACGCATTACTTCCCTGAGTTCAGTCCTTGAGTTTTGGCCTGACCGCGCTGCTGGTCCCACCTGGCAACAAGATGGACAGTGCTCCGGCGAGAGCAACGGCCCCCGGCACAAACGACGTCGATATACTGGCGCGGCATCTCATTAGTAGCGACAAGATTCGACTGCTCCGGGGGATGCTGATTCTGCCGCACTCGTTATGCCATTGACACCATGAGAAAAAGCAGAAGCTTGTCATGCGTTCTGGGGTTTTTATGGAAGTTTATATCTTGCCCCCACAGCAAAATGCTTTTTCTCATTTTGACAATTGCATAGCCAAGCAGAACCAACGTCGGCCGATATGGGAGATTTCTGATAAAAGTGCTGACCGAAACAGCATCTGGCGAAACCGCTACCGCACTGCAGCTTATGGGAGAAAAAAGCGAGCAGGCGATAGGGCGGATTTTTGAAAAGATCGAGGCGAGGGTCATGCTGGCGTATTTCCGGTGCCAGGGTGACCATGTTCGGTGGACCGCGGGCCAGTGCCATTCCCGGGGGCGGGGAATATTATCCCACATACAGTTTGATGGGACGCCGCTGTGCTTGTTAACCTCCGGCGACTATGTGACCGCGGACTGTTTTGGGGTTAGTCAGTGCATCGCGATGCCGCGCGCGGATTCTTCGCACAGTGCTTACCGACTAGCCTCCCCCGATGGGTTTGACCAAGTACGCTATTGGGTCGGGGGGCAGGTGGTGCAAATGCTGGAGGGCCACACGGATTCGATGGTCCACCAAGTCCTCCGCCAGCGCACGATCTACGTCCGAACTTTATTCGATCCGCACTCTCCGGATGGTCTCCGGGGATTCACGCTAAGCCGTATGCACATGACAAATGCCAGTTTTGAGCTGCAGTGCGGAAACTATCTCAAGAAGCCACACCAGGAACTTGTCATGCTCAGAACTTTGTCATGCAGCGCTCAGAGATTTGTCATGCAGCGGCGCAATTTGTCATGCAGTTTTCATACATGTTGCACCTTCTTGAGATAGTGACTAAACTGACTTCCCAAAGCTGGCTTATTTTTATTTTGCAGTGCGGACTACGGGGCAGACGGCGGCAGTGCAGGGGTATTACGAAAGTACTGCGCATTGCAGCACGAGATGGGTCTACTGGTGGGTGGGCCGACCACTTTACTACAGTCGTTGCTGGACTTGGTCTTCGTCGATACCTGTTATCAGAAAAAAAACGTCTCTGCCCTTCTTGAAAGTGTTTTTATGCATGACATTTCGCAAGTATAATCACGATGAAAAGGCGCTTTCAAGAAGGGCAAATACTTTTTTTTTGCATATTGCCGTGATCCACACGATGCACTGCGCGATGGAGGACGGCCTGCGGTCTTTGGAACTTTTTGCAGATGAAAAGCATGACGACGACATCAAGCGGATCAGCAACGCCATGCGGAAGAGCGGCAAAGCTCTGCGAGAACACGTCCACGACTTCGCTCTCCAGCATTACATCTGCAAACCGCTCAAGGACCCGGAGCTGTACGCAGAAACTTTGAAGTTTGTCTGTGGCGCAGGGCAGGAGGGGCTGCGGGATCGACTTATCCGATTGGGTCTGCGGCACGAAGGGCACGCCCTGGCAGGAAATTTGCGATTTTGCGAAGATACAGTTGGGGAGGTTGCGGACTGTTTGTTGGAGATCCGCTACAAGCAGATGCAATTCGGGCGGGTGGGTAACAGCCTACTCCCAGCAAGGGCTGCGGCTTTGGCAGATATAGTCGGGATTCACCATCTTGCCGAAATGGTGATGAAAAAGGGCCGCCGCAGGTTCTTCATCAAGCAAGCATTTGATACGACCACCGTGCGCTACCGAAAGGAATACCCGAAGGCCATCTGGAGCATGATAACCCTCCTGCCTGTCTTCGAACACGCAGAGAAGACCCTCCTGCGCGACGACTCGCTGCAGGGCATTTCAGCGGTTCAAAAAGCAATGGAGGAAGAGCTTGCAGCATGGCGGAGCACGGATTTTCGAAAGTATTGGGGCTATTCCAGTATTCCGGCAGAGGAGATCGACGCACAGCTCCACAAAGTTTATCTCGCAATCGATATCGCTGCAGCTTCGGCGTACGCCTTGGCCTTTCGGAGATTGGAGCACGCCCCGTACAGCCACTTCCTCGGGGCCGGTCTCACGCTGGAGAAGATTCTGGACCGCGTCCGCAACACACCAGTCGAGAAGGCGGACTTCGGCTTCACCCGGAAGTTGCAGCAGCTGAGCCAGATGGCGCCCAAGGTGTTGGAGAGTCACAAGTCCAGTCTGGCGGACGTCTGTGGTTTGCTTCTCACCGTTCCGCAGTCGGTGTTCATACGGGAAAAGCTGCACAAACATAGCCACCGACACAACTTATCCTCAAAATCCTTCTCCTCCGTAAACGTCCTGCAGTGGAATTCCACCTTCGTACGAAGTGTCAACCTCCAGCCACCTACAGCAAGTCGAGATTTCCGCATGAGAGTATTTTCTCATGCGGAAATCGCAAAGAAAGGTGCATGGCTGGAGGATTTGTTTTTCATACCAAGTGGAGCAGAGTATGTGTCTTGGGTCACAGAACCGCGCCTCCCCTACCACCGGCCAGGTCCTGTCCTGGGACGAGCTTGCCCTGCAGTCCAACGCGCACAAGATTACTCGCCCGTCCATGTTCGTCGCCGAAAATGCAAAAAAGAATATCGGGGGGCAACAGGCCCAAAGCAAGTACTTCGCGTCGATGATGGAGACCTTCGCTACGAAGAACATGGCAGGGGAGACGGAGTACCTCACCAGCCACGTGGCCAAACGCCGGGCGGAAAAAGTAGAGGGGGAATTGGAAAAACAGGCACGGGAGTTACAGCGGTACGCGGACCGGGAGAGCAAGATACAGCGCAGGAAGACTTTTGTCACCGGGATCAACACAGACAACCTGGACGACGAAATTACAGATGGCAGTTGGCTCGAAGCTTGGCATGACCTCCCCGTCGACTGCTCGGGTGAGCTTCGACAGATGTGCCAGCAGGACTACGACAAGGATCTCGCCGAGGAGGTCGATCGGATGATGATAATGACGCCGCAGACGTGGCCCTACTTGGAATACTACGAAGACATGGACGGACGGGTCGCGGATCTCATCCGGCTGCACCGCGACGACGCCCTGGGCGTGGTAGGGTCCATCCTGCTGCTGCGGAAATACGCTGATGACGACGAAGGTCTGCCGGTAGGTTGTCGCGGCCTTTCGGATCAATTTTGTTTCGTCCCAGCCGTTCATTCTCTCGACCGAATTGCTGGCCCGCGAGGGCAATGACGGAAGTTTTCCAACCCGGAAAACCATGCTTCGCAAGACCGGGCTGTTCTTCAACACAACGAAACTGGACGGGGAGATATTTGTTGTGCCGGAGGAAGAAATCGAAGTCCGTGGGCCGGCTAGTTTGATAGTAGCGTGCAGATTCAACTACACGGACATTGCGAGGTCTGGCTTCGCGAAGTTATGTCCTGGGGCGGGGATCCGGAGAAAAAAAAAACCGCCTGGCGCAGCACAGTTCAAACGCCTGAACAGCCCTGCGATCAACAACTACCAAAACAAAAAACGCGACTTGGGCCGCGTAACAACGGTGGACGAGCTGAGCAAGTACGCCGACGACGAACTGCTTGAACGGCTTGGCAGCTGCCTGGCAGACCTGAAAACCGATCGCGAGAAGTACAAGCAACTGGCGGGACAGGGGGGAGACCAGCTGCTCGCGCGAGATATGTCGATTAAGCTGAAGGGGGGGAAGTTCAATCTGCTGAACAGGGGGCAGACATTACGCTCTCGGATTCTAGGCTTCGAGACAGTTGGCGTGCATTTTTCCAAGTTTGTCATGCGGTTTTCCTTGCGCAATGCACGCGCATCTTTTGGCAGCCTAGATTCTGCCCCGGGATAACCGACCGAGAAGTTCCAGCTGGACCCGCGTCCAGCAATTTGCCCGTTCTTGAAGGAGCTCGGCCTCCAGCCTGTGAAGGACTTCAGTCTCTCCGTGTGGAAGACAGAGGAGCGCGCAATGACGCACGCGCTAGCAGTGCGGCGGTTTTACCGAGCGGTCTTGCGGCTCGGTGCACACAGGGGTGGTGAAAACGATCAGCCGGAGCACACAGCGGCATCGCGTTTGGCCCTCGAGGAGGACACGATAATGGGTCAAATTCGACGCGACAGGAAGTTTCTCGAAGACCAGCAGGAACTCCACACCCACAACCGCGAGCAGTTTTTCGACAAGTTGGAACTAATAGCCCGCACCTGTTTCTTCAGACTTCCAATCAGCCCGGATCTTGCTGCCCTCCTGCACTAGTAAACAACAGCGGAAGTTGACCCGGAAGGACTAGTCTTCATGCTAGTACATATCTTGCATGTGTGGCGCCGTATGCTAAGTAGTTGCTACTAGACCTAGAACGAAGATAATCCGCAATACAGACTCGGACTGCTTGAATTCTTCCAGTCATTTTTTTGAAGATCGTACAACGACACCGATGTAAGACTCCTGTTCCGATGTTCCTCAAAATTGCGCATTACAAATTGTTGTTGGTTTGGTTCCCCAATGATGCTGTGTGGCATTGCGAGATCCTCTGTAGCATTACAGATT